CAGAATTAAAAAATCAGAACTAAATTAAATCAGAATTTTAAGAAATCAGAATTTAATAAAATCAGAATTAAATAAAATCAGAATTTAAAAATCAGAACTAAATTAAATCAGAATTAAAAAATCAGAATTTAAATAAATCAGAATTTAAAGAAATCAGAAATAAAAATCAGAATTAAATAATCAAAGTTTAAAAAATCAGAATTAAAAAAATCAGAATTAAATAATATTCTGTTTGTTTTATTAAAATCAGAATATTATTGTATTGTATTTCAGAATTTTATTATAATCAGAGTTATGTTTGAGATACAATAATATTCTGATTTTAATAAAACAATCAGAATTTTTGTTTTGTGTTTTCTATTTTATTCTGATTTTTAAAATAAATTCAGAAATATGTTTAAATGTGTTTTCTTTGTTTGTGACATTTTTATTTTTGTGTTTTTGTATTTTTTTGTATTTTTTCGTGTTTTCGTATTTTTTGTATTTTTTAAAAATTTATCGTTAATTGAAAAACTATACATAACAAATCCAAGCACCTTCAAAGGTCAAAAAATATTTATTCAAAAAATTTATTTTTTTACACAGTCAATTTCTATGGATTAAATAGACGATTATATATTCTTTTATATTTTTTAAAAAATCTGATCTTCATCCTCATCGGCATCTTGTCAAGAATAAAAATAACAAAAATTACTTTATAAACTATTTTTTCTTCTTTTTTTTTAATAATCGAAAAAAAATAATTGGCGCGGTTTTTAGCAGAAAATACACAAAAAGCGACATTTCATCCCACTTTTCCTCACAACTTTTAGCTTCTCGAATTTCTTTCTTTTACACTTTTTGAATTGTCGGCATTTATTTTTTGACTGTTTTTTTGTAGTCTAATCCGGGAAAATTACTTTAGACTGATCAAAAAATTTTTTGAATAAAAATCCTGGCGATTACGTGAATGGCATTTTTATAAATAATAAAATGAGTTAATTTCAAGGAGTCGGAAAGTGTTTTTAAAAATAAATAAAAAATACAAAAGCTCTGTGACTAATCTGTTGTATTCAAAACGAATTTAAAAGAAAGGAAACAAAAATAATTATTTTTATATGTGGGTGTGCGCAAATTTTTTGGCGTTTTATTTTTGGGTTGTTTTTGAAGTTTTTTGGCATTCTGTTTAAATTTTGGAATTTTAAAAAAAATTTGGAATTTTTAAAAAATAATGGAAAAATTCCGTCATATCTACCGGAAACCGATTCGGACAAGTGATATGTCATTCGAAAGAGCTTGCCGAGCTGAGTCGAACGACACCAAAATTAGCTTCGGGACTCACATATGGGCCGAGATATAGGTCCCCGAAAATCGAAAAACCATAGGGGGGAGTAAGCTCAATTTTGGAGTGAAAAATTCGAATATGCAAATAATAGCTCATTAGAAAGAGCTCGTCGAGCTGAGTCGAATGACACCAAAATCAACGAATTCCGACTTGATTGGACCGAGATATAGACTCCTAAAAACCAAAGATCCAAATGGACGATTTTTGGAATAAAAAATTTTTTTATACAAATAATACCTCATTTGAAAGAGCTCCTCGAGCTGAGTCGAATGACACCAAAATCAGCTCTATTGAACAAGTTTGGACAAAGTTATGACACAAAAAACAAACAACGTAAACCTATGGGGCGTCGGCGAGGCGCTTGTGCAAAACCCCGCGCTTCGCGCGGGGTTTTGCGGCACGCGCCTCGCGGGGAGTCTACGGGCGCTGGGTCTGGGCTCGTAACATAAACCTATTCCTATCTCCCTTGCTCTGGACGTATTTGGGGCCTCCGTAGCAGCAAAAATCTCCACAAATGCCATAGGTAAGGAGCTAAAAGAAAAGATCATAACTTTGTCCAATCAAGTCGGATTTCGTTGATTTTGGTGTCATTCGACTCAGCTCGACGAGCTCTTTCGAATGAGCTATTATTTGCATATTCGAATTTTTCACTCCAAAATTGAGCTTACTCCCCCCTATGGTTTTTCGATTTTCGGGGACCTATATCTCGGCCCATATGTGAGTCCCGAAGCTAATTTTGGTGTCGTTCGACTCAGCTCGGCAAGCTCTTTCGAATGACATATCACTTGTCCGAATCGGTTTCCGGTAGATATGACGGAATTTTACCAAAATAATTTGTGAAATTTTTTTAATTAAAAAAAAAAATTTTTTGGGTGTGCGCAAAAGTTGGTGTGCGCAATTTTGGGTGTGCGCATAAGTTGGGTGTGCGCAAAATTTTTGGCGTTTTTTTAATTTTATTTTTTAAATCTTTGGCTTTCTGTTTAAATTTTGAAAAAATTTAATAGATTTCTGAGAAATTTTGCAGAAATATTAAAAATATTTTTCAAGAAAAAACAGAACGCCAAAACCTCAATTACATCGTCACGTTTCTAATTTTGATTTTCGCCTTATTCTAGTGACACAAATCGCTGCTAATACCTTTTAAAAGACATTTATTTTCGGACAAACTAATTATTTTCTTTATTTTATTTTAAAAATATGAAAACATTTTTTGATTTGAAAAAAATTTTTAAATTGAGGGAGAAAAAGAGGAGGAAATAGGCATAACAGATAACCACCCTTTTTGTGGAGAAAAAAATTGGGAAACGGAACCTGGATTAATTAATACACATTTTCCCCCATAATTTTCCTTACCTTAAAGGCCAATTTCCTCAATTGAGCAAATTAATAAAATTAAAAAAATATTGTAACAAATCCCCAGGCATGTCTCCCTCTCCCTCCCTTCCAGAAGGATCATCTCCCCACCTATAGTTTATCAAAAAAATTTTCTTCACCCGCTGCGAATTTTATTTTTATATTTTTATTATTTAATTTAACTGTATTACTCGCGCAAATAAAAATAAAATAATCCCTTCCGGGCTTGTGAATTGCCTTTGGCTATAATTTGGTAACTTATATCTTTCCTATTGCCCCTTGGATTTTTTTGCTTATTTTTCCTATTAAATTCGCATTGTCTCGAAAAGGAGAGCTTCCTTCAAGTTTTGCCATTGTCTTTTATTAAATAATAAATTTCCAAATAAATAAACTTAATAAAATATAAATAAGACATTTGGTCCCACCAACACAACTTGAGAGAATTTAAGGGATTTGTAATAAAATATTGGTATATGGTAAATTAAAAGTTTATACAAGTTTATATAAAGGATTTGAACAATGGAAAAGTCTAATAAACAAATAAAATGCCATTGTTGTGTAATACTTTTGGGTTTTATTTGGACTGGTTAGTTGAGGGAGGGGGTTAGTTTAAGCTCTATAACTTTGGAACAAATCAACTTGTAAAAATAATTTAGATATGATTCGATAGAGAATTGAATGGGCTATCCATCTCAATTTAAATAAGAATTTTATCAATTTTTGGGAAATAGTTGAAGGCGAAAAACCTTCAAAAACGGCCTATTTTACCTCAAAAAGACGGTTTTTTGGTCATTACTTTTTTTTCTCTTTACCTAAATTTTTTATTTTAGACTCATTTTGTAGCAAATTTAATTCTCTATCGAATGACTACAAACTTTTACGAATATCATTTTTCAAGAAAAAAGATATAGAAAAAAACCTCCAAATACTGGTTATTTTACCCTTAAAAAGACGGTTTTTCGGTCATAACTTTTCTTTCTCTTTACCTATTTTTTTTGATTTTAGACTCATTTTGTAGCAAATTTAATTCTCTATCGAATGAATACAAAAACTTTTTCGAAATCTTCATCCTTTCAAGAGTTATCGTCTCTCCACTGAACCATCCTCCAAGTGAAACCGCACATGCATTGCTTCTTTTAAAATTTATTTTGGCCATACTTTGTTTTTATTTTATTAAATTTGATGGCCAATTTGCTAGCTAATATCCTCAAAACAATTAAGGAATAAACGGATAAATAAATAAAGAAGAAAAAAATTTTATTTCGAAGAAAATTGAAAAAATAAAAGGATTATTTTCACACTTGATTAAATTTTCTCCCCCCAAAATTTCTCTCCCAAAATTTGTGACCTTTCTTTTTGACACTCAATTTTATTTTTTTTTGTTTTTGTAAATGAAGCAACAAATAAATAATACACTTTAAAAAATATTTTTATTAAGTAGAAAAATAAAAAATTGGAAAAAACCGCGGGAAAACGGAAGCTAAGTTTAATAAAATAAAACTGTTATTTGAAGGAAGTTTGGTTGATTTAACTGGAGAGAGAATATTAAATGTATTAAATTGGATCAAAATAATATTTATTAAAATAATATTTATTCAGTAATAATATTTTTATGAGTAGAAAAAAACGAGGGATCAGGATGTCTCCTCTGAACCGTGTTATGTCCGAGGGTTGTATGGAAGTCGACCTGCAATGATTAACGTTTATCCAAAGAGAAATAACAATGTGTAGGCGAAGGGATAAAGTTGGAACAGACGAAGGAGATCAGGGACTAGCCGGGCTAGTATGATCCAATTAGACTGATGCTTACAGTGGCTTTTATAGTAGTGCTACACACTACACAACATTGATATACACACTACACAACCTTGACATTCCTTCCTGAAGTGGAAAGAGTTATCTCTTCTTAAAAAAGAGTTAGTTATCTCCTCTTTCTTCTCCTCCTGGACAGGCTGAACCGGCACATCGTTCGGGCTCGTAAAAAAGAAGAAGAAACACCTCTACAGAGAAGAAACACCTCCCAACACCTCTACAAATCGTTGAAGCAATTTCTGCATGACTTTCGCCAGTTTGCAGTCCGTTGTTGCAACTGGTACAGCAGTTGTTGAAGCCGACATTGTAGTTTACTCCTGTCGATGACTGGCGTGGTGAAAGGCAAAGGAAGAAGATATTGAACACTTTAATAAAGCTGCTTTTATATCCCCCCTCCCCTACGTTTCTTATACTATAAAAGACCCCCAGCATTTATTCAGTTCACAACACCTCTACAAAGCAATCATCACAACCCTTCAAACATCTACATCGTCTACACAAACAACTCTTCATGCTCGGCCTTCTTCCATTGGAGCTCGACACCGGACCCTGGACCAAGAAGTCGTCAACGCTGTGCTCTCTGCTGCTGCTGCTCACCATCGCCGCACTTGCAGTTCTCGGACAGGTCAACAGCGAAAAAGTCGGACTCGGCAAGCACATAAAGAATCGAGAAAATGTGACGCTCACCGCCAACACCGTAACTTCCGACAAGGCGGGCATCGACCTTGCTAGTTATAACTTCAAGGAGCTGTATCCGGACGCCTGCGATGTTACAATCAAAGACGGCTTCATGTGAGGATTTTTTTTATTCTTTTCGGAGCTAATTGTAACTAAAATTTTATTTTATTTCAGTGAGCTTCGGTACAAGAAAGGCAGCAAGGGATGCACTGTGGACCTGCTCAGCACCGACTCGTCGAACATCAACAAGATCAAGTTCAAAGCAGGAGTGCGAGGGAATGCAGATGGAAAACTCAACGATTGTCTTGAGGCGGGTGACTCATTAGCGCAAAGCTTTAGCAACCTGTGAGTTTTTACTCCCTTATTCTATTTGATAGTTAATTTACGTTAATTAATTTACACTAATTTTATAGTCTGCCTTTCGTCTACAGCGTCGATAACAAGGGCATAGAAGATCTCAACAACCGTCAATACAACGGTTCAGGAGCAGACTGTAAAAACGCTGCTTGCAAAATCATTGATGGAAAATGCAAGCGTCATACATCACTTCAAGTCTCATGGAGCCAGTCGGATGGAGAGGTCTATGCTCACACATATCTAAGTAAGAGGCCTGTTTGTGTTTTTATTTTTTTAAATCATTTTATAGTTGGTGAAAATAACAAAGGCTTGAGTCAGTCCAAGAAGCCGGAGAGTGAGAGTATGACCCTAGACTTGGTGATAAGTACTGCGAGCGGATTCACGATGGAGTATGCAAACGACGAGGGATTCGATGCTTCGACTAAAGCTGTCTGCGTTCACAGGTCAACTCCACTCTTCGAACCCAAAACATGGAAGATCACAAATGATGGGGAGTTCAAGGACAAACACCTGCTCGTCTTCAGCCTGCTTCGGCAGAATGCTTCGTATACTTACAAAGACAGCAAGTTGGCAGTACCTCCAAATGGACCGGAGTGTGAACTCTTCGTTCAGTTTGTGAGTTTTTCAATTTTAAGACCTTTCTGTAACCCTATTACTCTTGTGACCTTTCAAGTAATTTTGTTTTTCCTAGGATGTAAACTACTACAAGATGCTCATTGTCAACCCTCAAACAACAACGCCACCGACCACTTCAACGACCACAGAAGCTCCACCAGTGGAAACATCAGACCCGACTGAAACGACAACAAATCCCTCTGGTCCTTCAACGACAACTTCGTCTACGACCGACTTCTCTTCCACCACAACGACATCTCGAGCAACAACAAGGCGCCTGGAACAACAAGAGTGTGGCGGAGGTCTCTACATTGCAATTGCTCTTGCTGCTGGCCTCCTTGTCGGTCTCATCGTTGCAGTTTTGGTCTGGCTCTGGATGAAGGACAAGGCAGAAAAGGATAAGAAAAAGTGGAAGCAGGACGCCGAACGCGCAGAAGAAAAACGTCTACTTGCGCTGTACAAGGCTGACCAGAAGATCAGAGGCAAAAAGAACGTCGGGACATTTGATGTATGGAAAAAGAATGTGAGTTTAAAACATTCTATTGTATCAACCATATATTTTTCCATTTTTTCAGAGAAAGGAGAGTGATGAAACGACTGCGTTTGAGATGGGTTCAGTCGACGACTTGTGCGCTATAATATGGAAGAGAGTGGAGAAGGATCACGCCAAAGCCAAGATGCAGTTCATTGTAGACCAGTTCGAGAAGCACAGGGACAACGAGGTCTACGCCCGCGAATATGAACCGGAAAAGTCTAAAAAGGGATATGATGCCGTTGGGAACTTCCAGTATTGGAAAAGGGTGAGAAAAAAATATTTTTTAATGTCAACTAGTCATTTTTATATATTTCAGATGAGGAAAATCTATCCGTTCGAAGTGATCGATGGAACATCAACTGCGCTTGAATATGGGGCGGGAAAGAAGCCATATGATAAGCCGTATCTTCCCGGGGCCGTTGACGAGTCGATTCCAGAAACTGAATAGGGAGGAGGAGTTGGCCCGGAAGTTGTGTGGAGGTGACGCTCGAGATATAAAAATGTGTGATTATCTATATATTGTTCCTTTGCTATATCCCCCTATATATTGTTCTCATTGTTCCCCCCCCCCCCCCCCCCATATATTCTCATTGTATGTATTGTATATTTCTTGTTGTTTGTGTTGTATTTGAATTGTTGTATTTAATTGTATTTTTATGTGTGTAAATAAATTGTTGTTTGAGTTGTGTTGTTTTATATACTCGAAAGGGAATGCCCTCATATTTTAGTTATCTACTACCAAGTTTTCTGCTGTAATCTTACGCGGTACTAGAGTTTCGCCGGAAATTGTGGTTCTCTGAAATTGAAATATGGGATTTGTTACCTCCATGGGTGGAATTTTTTAAATGCAAAACGGCCTAGTTTTGCATTTTCAAAACTTTTCAGCAACTTTTTTGGATATTTGCGGAAAAGTAATTGTTAAAAAAATTTTTTTTTAATAATTGCTGAACATACAAAAAAAATAAAATTTTTAATTTTACAATTTTTGGAATTAATTAATTCTCAAAATTAAAATAATTATTGTTTATTTAAAAAAATTTTTTCTTCCTTAAAATTATATTTAAATTAAAAAAAAACAAAAAATTTACGAAAATCCGTTAAATGCGCAATTCCGCTACTTTATACAATTTTGAATTTTTTTTAAAATTTTTTTTCGTGTTACCAAGAAGAGACAGGTGTAAAAACGTCAATTAAAACTGAACTATATAATTAAGGGGAAATTAAGGGGAAGAAAATAATTATTTACATTATTAAATACCTCAGGTGAGTTTTAAATTTTAAACTATTTATAAACGTAAATATTTTAATTATTTATTTATTTGAGTTTATAGAGAATTAAAAATGCTATAAATAGGGCTGTAAATTATATGGAAATCCATATTTTTTTCCTGAATTGCTAAGGGTCTGAAACGCACGAAAAACACACTTTCCGCACTGTCTGCTTACAAAAATGAGGACTTTCGTTTCCATATTTTCCATATTTTTCCATATTTTGGCATTTCGTCCATATTTTCCATATTTTGTCCATATTTCGTCATTTTTCAAGGAAAAAGTGTCCATATTTCGACATTCTGTCCATATTTTCCATACTTTATCCATATTTCGCCATTTTTCAAAAAAAATGAAAAATGTTTGGCGTTTTGAAAATTTTAGACATTTATTTGGGCGCGACCATAATTCGGCTCAATCCAATTCGCCACATCTCAAAATGTCCAATTGACTAAAAATACTCATTTTGTCTCATTAAAACTAAAAATCCGTTAATGCTCGCGACCAAGTTATTGAATTGTGAATGAAAATTTAAAAATTTTATCCATATTTCGTCCATATTCCAGGATTTTTCCCATATTTTCATCCATATTTTGAAAAATTTCATCCATATTTCATGTGCATATTTTCGATTTTTTCGTCCATATAATTTACAGCCCTAGCTATAAAACTAAGTGGCATTTAAATTTTTAATTATACTGTAAAAAAGTTATGCTCAAAAAACTGTAATTTTCGATAAAAATTGCCTACTTTTAGGGGTTTATAGGCCATAACTTTTTGCCTAGTTGACTTAGAATGTTGATCTAAACTTTATTTTGTAGCAAATTAAATCCTCTATCGAATGATTGAAGAAATTTACAAAAAAAGTTTATTTGTTAAAAAATTATGGCTGTTAGCGTTACCCTTGTTCTGCTCTCTACAGGCACTAAAAACTTGATTTTTCAACCTTAATAAATTTCTAGTTCTAATAAAATTTTATTTCAAAGTACATTTTGTTGCAAATTTAATTTTCTATCAGATGATATAAATATCAACGAGAATAATTCACCTGTCATTATTTTATGAATTTTAAATATCCCCACCTCCATGGCTATAATTCACATATACTCCTCTTATAATTAAAAAAATTTTCTGAAAAAAATTTTTTCACGCCTACAATTATAACTTTTTCATGACTTAAAATGTGATAATTTATTAATGAAAAAAGGCTGGCAATTTTAATATTAAATGATCCTCATCATAAATAATATTTAAATATTTAATTTTAGATAACATTTTCTCTAGGGATAATTGCAAACAATTTTAATTTTTTTAAATAAAATTTATTTTATTCTGTATAAAGATGGAGTTGCTACTTTTTCGGCCTAACGAGTAAGCTCCGAAAAGTTTTATAAAAAATCAAATAACTTCTAATAGACGCCCCATGATTTTAAAACTTGTAGGGCTGTTATTGGAGACAGGGTTTCTATTATTGGAGAGTGGGCTTCTATTAGAGAGGGGAAAATATTAAAGATACAAGAGTGCTTACTATTAGAGAGGGGGGATATTTTGGAATTAATGGAAGGGGTATGAGTTGGGTACCCTTATTTGCCTCCGGTAATAGGCCCATATAGAACCCGACATTTGCGCACCCGACATCTGCGCACACGACCCCTAAAGCAAACCCCCCAAACCCCCAAAACTTGTTCCTTTTATTAAAAAAAATATTTTAAATTTCCAGTTATGCCCGTCTCTACAATTGCACAAATTTTAACGCTAATCTCGTTCCATATGAAAACCGAGTTCATCAATTCCACAGTTGGATGTTGATATTTCTCTTCGTTATTTTTGAATTACTCTACATTCCCTGCATGTTAAGCATGTACAAACACTTGAGCAATCCTTGCTATAAATTATTGTTTTATATTGGAGTTACTGATATGGTAACAATTTAATTAAAATTTAAGGGGGCTTTGCTAAACGACATTTGCGCACCCGACATTTGCGCACATAAACGAAAATGTAGCTCAGTTTAGGACCCATATCTGTAGATTGGAGAAAGCTATAAAATAGCTTTATATACCATTTGATAGAGAATTAAAAGGGCTATAAGATAGCCAAAAATCAAAATTTTTGGAAAATGCATAAAAAAGTTGTGGTCAGAAAACCTAACATTTTTCGATAAAATGTCTGCTTTTACGACTATAATTTCTCCTTATTTTTTATTAAAAAATTATTAATTTAAATTTATTCCACCTCTATTCGAATAAAATATTAAAACTTTCATTGAAAAAAATTAAAGTTGGTAATGTTAATGAACGGACTAGAAACAGGCATTCTTGGACTAATGGGGGCTGTGTTTTGCGACTACCCAACTTTAATTTACACTAGCGGCTCTATTGGCTTATGTAACTGATTTTAAATAATTTTGAATTAATTCTAAGACATTTAAAAATTTATAAAAATTTCCAAAAAAATTAAATTTCAAAAAATTTTCAAAATTTTCAAAAGAAAATTTTTCCACCCCCAAAATTTCAGCCCTCTGGTTCGCGGAGACCTCAGCAGAGCTTTTATTAGCCATCAACCGTTGTCTTGAATTATTAAATCCAAAATTAGCACACGACATCTTTAAAGGCAACAGAACTTGGTTTTTAAAAAAAAATTTTTTTTGAAAATTTTTTTTCTAAAGGTGGTTAACTGTTGTCCCTTCCATTTATGCTGTTATTTTAAGCTTATTTACTGCACCTATTTTATTCACTGGACTTTATTTTTCCTGGTTTTTTAATCCTTATGTTGGATATAATGATGATTTTGGAAAAATTGTGAGAAAATTAGTTTTTAAATTTACCCTCTATTTTGTGGACACTCTATATAGGCGACTCTCATTATAAGGTCAATGCAAGAGAAGTACGTTAGATGATACTACATCCGTTGTAATACTATATCCTATCATATTTTGTCGATGATAGACTCCGCCCAACTGACCCGATCCAAACCCCAGACCTGATTTCCGAAACCCCAATTTCCGAAACCCAATCGAGCCCCGAGCCGAAGAGAATCTTGAAAACATGACCAGAAACCCGACCCAATTTTTCCCTAACAGGCACTCCGAGCAACTGACTCGATCCAAACTCCAAACTGATTCCCGAAACCCATAACCCAAACCCGATGTCTAAACGAATCCCCGAGCCGAAGAGAATCTTTAAAACCTGACCAGAAACCAGACCCAACTTTTCCCAACCCACACTCCTTGACGGTCCCAATCCGACACTCCTTACAGTACATAAAATTGAGCCAAGTCCCCTATAGATAGAGTTTCCATAAAATAGAGGTTAAAAATATTTTCTAATTTCTCCTGCAGTACTACAACCACGCACATACAATTCACGATACTTTTGTGATTTTCGGTCTCTCAGCGATTTACATAACATTTTCTGTTTTGCTGACAATCAGAACAAATTCGTATAGCTCTTCAACTCATCAACCCACTTTAGCACAAAAAATGGTTTTTTAAAAAAAATTTCCAAAAAAATTTTTCTCATAGACATTTATGCAAGTTGTAATTATTAGTTTTTTTAATGCAATGGCTGCAGGTATTTATATTTATATGCAAACTGTACGTATTAGTGATGCTATTATTATTGCTGGAACATATGCGTGGCTTTTTGCGCACGGTTAGCTAATTGAAATTTTTCTGGACCTTTTGTGTCTCTAATCAAGTACCCTTTTGTCGTTTTGACGTATTTCCTTTTTGTCGTTTAGACGTTTTACCCTTTTTGTCGTTTCTACTCCTGGTACCCTTGTGTCGCGTTTACCGTTTTGTACCCTTTTGTCGTTTTTAGCTGCAGAACCATTTTGTCGTTTTAACCGTGTACCCTTTTGTCACACTTCAGAAAAAACTAGAAGACTATACAAAAAGAAGAGAGAATTTCTCTAACCTATTTTGTCTCTCCTTTATATCCATACTATTTCCTCTTTGAGATTAAAAAAAATTAATTTAATTTAAGGAATTCCACCAGTTATTTATTTAATTTTAAACAAAACAATTCGTACAGACTTTAAACATTATATGAAATTAATGTTTGGAAGAGCTAATGTTAGTAAATTTCAAACTGTTACTATGGTAGCTTTTAAATTTAAAAAAAAATTTTTAATAAAAAATCCAAGTTATTCACGTCATTTCAAAACAACCAACAAACTTCAAGTCGAACGAGAAGGGTGGTTGTTGGAGGAAGAATGGCTCGGTCTAACCGAGTTGTTCAAACTACTAATGGAGGGTTTTGATTGGAGAGAGGAAGGGAAGGAAGTGAGGGAATTTAAGAACATCCATAATGAAGATAACACAGACGGGAGGGAAGGGATTCTATCCACATCGGAAAATTCGATTTTTGACTTCGATACCAACTTTCAACACTAGAGACAGGACCGAGAGGAGATCTCGATCATAAATCTCAGTTATCTAGATCGAGAATTTTTCGAGATCTCGATTCTCGTACGACACTCACAGTTCGATCCCTACTCAACACAATCTATTCCAAACTAGAGAACGGACTGGGAATGTCATACTTCAACACTAGAGACCGGCGAATTAATGTTTCTTGAGAGATATCGGTCTCTCGAGAAACACCAATCTCTCGATAACAGCGATTTTTGTTCAAGATCTCATCTTGGTCCAGTCTCTATCTTAAACCGACTTTTGATGAGTCTACCTCAGATTTTTCTACTTTTGTAAATAAAATTTCCAAAATTTCAAATATATTCTGCCTAAAACTACTTTTACTGGATTTTATAAAGAAAAAGGACTACAATAATATGTACAATTCTTTAAAAAAATTTTGTATGGTCGGACACATGTATGTTTTTCACTGGTAAAAATTTTATGTGGATTGGCCCTTCTGATTATGCGTCCAATAAATGTGTATGCTATTGGATTCCTTATAACGGAAGGGGGTTTTACAGCTGGGGTTTTGGAACGACTTTTTGCTTCACACCTATGGCCAGCGGCAGTGCTGTGCGCAATTGTATTTGGCGTTTTTGGCGTTTTCACAAAAAATTTTTGGCGCTCCCCCTAGCCTGTGGGCTCCTCAAGAGGCTCCTATGGACATCATAAATCCTTAACTACCAAACCATTTCGAGGGACGCATAATCTGGCCAAGGGCCAAAACACACATTTAATGTTTCTCAATTTACTTAGAACTTTAAAATAATGGACAAATAGATAAATATACAGTCGACCTCTCTATAAGAAACTCAAAGTGATCAGTGTTTACTAAATAGAGGTGTTTCTTATATAGAGGTTTTTATAGAGAGCTTCGACTTTTTTTACGTTTACTTTGAATGTCTCTCTCATTTTTCTTCACTCCCTCACTTTTTTCTTTTTTTTTCTCTAACCTTCTCTTCAATATACACACTCTCTCTTCTTCTACTTCTCACTTGCACGAATTGCATGGATTTCTTTCAAATGCTCCATCAATCCAGGAAAAATAAATTTTTGAGTTTGAGGATAAGCCTGTTGTGGTGTTTGCGCAGGTTTTTGAGGTGGTATAGGCGACATCGTTTGAGGGGGGAAGACGTTGAGAGGAGGAGGCATAGCCAGTTGGGGCATGCGAGGAGGAGCAAAATTATTGTTGTTGATGTTGTTTGGGTAAAAATTTTGGCCTACCTGATTGTTTTGGAATTGATTTCTCTTAAAATATAGGATTTTTAGATTAAATAGAAAGGTACTCTCTAATAGAGCGGATGTAGGAGAGCGAACTCGACGATCGAGATTTTTGAACGAGATCTTGTCTGGGTCCAATCTCTCTCTCTGCACTCTATAGAGATGTCTTCCCTTGTAGGATACAAGGGAAGACTATATAAAGAAAAAGATACCCCTCTATATAACACACCTCTATATAAGCGACAACTCTAGAAGGGACTTGGCTCTAGAAAGTGGTTGATGCATAAAGGATTACTTGACTCTCCCCATAAATCCCTCAATGAACGAGACTATATAAGAGAAATTTAAAGGAGGTGTGTAAGGTTACTGTAAACTGAGAGATATTTGCCCTTTGAAAAAAGCTTCAAATAATTCCTCATTAAAACCCCCTCTTTCTTTCTCTTACTATTAAAATCAAAATAAACAATATAACAATTATCCACACCAATGGAAAGAATCCATATCCATTATTCATTCCTCCAAGAAAATTGTTCCAGAAAAATTGCAAATTAGCCTGTTGTGCCTGGCGACGTCTAGCCATTTCTTGTTCATAACGGAAACGGGCTTCTTGTTGTAAACGGGCATTCTCTTCGGCCTGTTTCTTCATTCTTTCCTCAGCTAAACGACGTTCTTCCTCTTCTTTTTCCTCCTCATCATATTTCTCGTCATCTTCCTCTTCATCCTCCTCTTTCTTCTTCTCTTCCTCGTCTTTCTCTTCCTCTCTCTCCTCATTTTCTTCTCTCAAATCTTCCGCCTCTTTTTCGAGCTTTTCAATTTTACCTTCCAATTGTTCCACACGATGTCCCAACTTATCCATTTCGTGTAAAAGTTGCTCAATTTCTGGACGATCGTCAGGGTTTCGGGCCAAACAGCGCTAAAATATGTTAGTTTTTGGTCTTGATACGATAACAATCCGGCCTCCTCCCAGTTTAAAATATTCTTTAGCATTATCAAGCTTCACTATGAGATACCAATATTAGATACGCCTCAATTTAAGATACGTTTTCTCAAGTTGGACATCGTACAGATGCCACTGAAGGGAATATCCAAGAAATACCCCATTCTAAGAAACGCTCTAATATGTCTCTAACTAAAAATACTTGCCTTAACAATTTCTAAAAGTGGTAAATCTTGATATTTTTCATCAAATTCTATTGGCTTTTTACCGTCAAAAATTGTCTGTCTGAGCTCGCTATCTGCCTTTTCCCCACGTTCTTCCTCGTCTAGATGCTCGTATTTTTTAGTTATCCAGTGGTAAGGGCTTTTTCCATGGAGCATTTGGTAAAGAATTACTCCAGCTGACCATGTATCGGATTTTGTGCTCAACTAATAATGAAGAATATGAAATACAAAAACACAAGAAAAATACAAAAACACAAAATACAAAAACACAAGAAAAATACAAAAACACAGAAAATACAAAAACACAAAAAATACAAAAACACAAAAAACACAAAAATACAAAAACACAAAAAATACAAAAACACAAGAAACACAAAATACAAAATACACAAAATACAAAAAACACAAAATACAAAAAACACAAAAAAACACAAAATACAAAAAACACAAAATACAAAAAACACAAAATACAAAAACACAAAAAATACAAAAACACAAAAAAATACAAAAACACAAAAAATACAAAAAATACAAAAAACCCCGTTTATACAATAAACTACCGGGAATTGTTTACGACGAGCCAAAAATTCCTCCTCGTCATGGGCTGCACACCAGGCGACCTGTTCAGGACTCATATACATCACAGTCCCAGTCACAATCTCTCCACAAGCCTTAGGCAAGTCCTGCTTTTTCATGACTCCTCCAAAGTCAATAACTTTCAACACAAGTGGATCATCTTTTGTAGGGAAGTGTTGATCGTTGATAACTCGGGGGGCACGGAAGTAGGCCATATTCTCCGGTTTGAGGTCGCCATGTACGAAACCTTTAAAAGGGGACAATAGAGTCTCATAAAACATTCATTTCAGTATTGGGGGGCATTTGAGTCTCAACATATCATAGATTATTGACCTTACGAGTCTCGGGCTTCTAGGTCTCTTGGTTAAACGTCTGAGACTCAAACAACCCCCAACATCAATAAATTTACCCACCCATTTTATGAAGAGGATTAATTGCTTGTAGAATCTCCTTGAAAGTATTCCGCACCCATTCATGCTTTCCCTGACCCATATGTGGGGTGATTTCATCAAAAAGATCGTGGTGTGCCAATTCCATAACCATACTGATTGTTTTGTTAGTTGGGTGTTGCTCACTAGAGGGGAAAATTTCAAAAATTTATAACTTTGGACAGAATGTCTCTAAAATTCTGAAATTTTGCATACTAATAGTTTTATATTTGTAGTATTTTTCCACAAAATTTTAACTTTTTATCATTAATATAGACCAAGATATGATTTTTTGAAGTTTTTAAATAAGCCCCGCCCCTTTTCTCCCTCTTATCAACTTTTTTTGTTTTTTGGGGGAATATGGGTTTTAAAATTTTTCAAAATTAATTTACAACCTCCTAAAACTCTAAACAATCAAAATAAACAAACATTTCAAACAATTTTGGAATTCTCTCAACTTTTTTCTGGTTAAGCTCCCCCAAGATTTTAGCTTCATTCGTTGCCTGGTTGCGTTGCTTGTGTTCAATCTTTTCTAGATCGACCACCTTTAAAGCCATACAACGCTTAGGGCTGTTATCATGTTGCTCGAAAGCGTGGAAAACCTTTTAAAAAATTTTAAAATTTTTAGAAAAAATTCAACCCGGCTAGTAGCTCCATGTTGAATTTGCCCTTTAATGTTGTATTGCTTTCCATTCACAGTAATTACGGTTGGGATTGATTCCACCGTTTCGAGATTGAGAGTTTTACATTCTGGCGGCAAGTCAGAATAAATTTCTCGAATTGGCAATGCTTTGCCAAACACAACTAAAGATTATTTTTAAATGTTTGCGGACAAAATCTGTCCACAAACTGTCAACAAAATCTGTCCGCAAACAATGTCCGCAAAAATTTTGCAGACAACTTTTGCGGACAATTTTTCGGTGTTTACTGTAGGCCATATTATTTTTTAAATTTCGCTCCTATTAAATTCTAAAAATATTTTTCTTCACCTACAGCCCCCATCTCAGTGCAATTACCACGATTACAGCTGGAATTGACCCCTAGGTCTACAAGGGGTTAAAATAAAAAATAATTAATACCCCCCCCCCTAAAAATAAAAATTAATTTTTAATAATTTTATTAAATACCCCTAACATTATATTTTATTATTATTAATAATTTACCTTCGGCATAAAGCGCCATTAAAGCCATTAGAATGGCTACAAGCTTGGACTTCATCAAAACAACGTCTAAAACTTGCCTTGTTAGGGTTTTTAAATTTTAAGTCAAATTTTTTAAAAAAATTTAAAATGAAAGAGGAGATGTGTAGGGAATTGTCTAATTACTTAAGGAGACGTTGCCTTATAGGATTTGGGGGGAGGGCCTTGCATTTTAAGAGGAGGGCCTTCACTCGCGCACGTCTCCACGTCCCCAATTTTTTTCTCTAATTTATTTTTTATTTTTCTCTAACATTTTTTTCTGTCTAATTTTAAAAATGCCATTCAATATCCATTGATTAGAGCGATCAGAGAGGCATGGCCATATCCCCTCCATCCTTCCTTTATTTCATAATCCCCTTATCCCCCCTTTTACCCTCTCTCTTTCTTTACCCTCTCCCTCCCTGATTTTATCATCTTCCCTTTCTCAACTTCCCCTACCTCCCCTCTCCCAACTCTTCGACCTCATCTCCCCCTCCTCCTCTCTCTCCTTACTCTTTACCCTCTCCTCCCTTATTTCATCATCTTCCCCTTCAACTCTCCCCACATCCCTTCCCCACTCTTCGACCTCTTCTCCCCCTCCTCTTTCTCTCTTTACTCTCTCCCTCCCTTACTTTATCATCTTCCCTATCAACTCCTTTCCCCGCTCTTCCCCACTCCTCTCCCCCTTCCCCTCTCTTGCCCTCTTCCCTATCATCCCCCACCTTGCCCTCTTCTCAATCAACATCCTTCATATGATTTTTATTCAATTTATTGAATAAATCATATGATCATAGAGGATAGAGGGTAAATAATAGAGAGAATGGGGAGGTTGAAAAAGTTTTTTTGCCCTTTTGCCTTTCCTATGCCGACACCTTGTCTTTGTAGACGTTTGAATATTTCAAAATTAAAATTAAAAAGAATTTTAAAATAGTAGTTGACGGAGGGTTAAGAAATACATGTTGTTGCCCTTTCAATGTTTGTCGGCTCCTTTTCTTTATAAACTTGTTGCAATTTCTACTTATCTACGAAATTTTTCTGTTTACGAGACTACTTACTGCCGTCTTGCTAATCATTTCAATAGCCTCTATATAATGGACACTCATTTTAATCCTTATTGAGAACCTCTATATAGTGGATTCCCTGTATTAGACTCTGAACACATCATCCAACTCCTGTGAGAAATTTTTTCTTAGCATTTTGTCAGTTACACTTTACCCCTAAAACCCCTTCATTTTCTATGTTTCAACAACCAAACACATTTATTTAATCAATTAAAAATATATTAAATTTGACGTTAATTATTATCAAGTATTTTTAAGACTTGAAAATTCAAGTAAATTTTAGAAGCCTCTTATTTGTTTGCTCGTTGATATGAAAATTGGTTACTGTATGCTTCCTTCTATCTTGTAGGTATTGCTATCATCCGAATCTGAAAAATGTAGAAATGACATTAGATTACAGAAGCTCGAACGAATTTTGGTATTAGTGCCCTAGAAATGGTCATCACTCCAGAATCAATAATATCCCTTGAGAGTCCCTCCGGGAAAATTCCTTCCCAAGTTCCTTCCTCCCGTCCCTCCTTCCTCCCTTCCCTCCCTTCAAAAAAATACCTCGGTTTTCGCAAATTATCCATAGCCTGCATCCAACGGTCTTCTTCCGTCTTAAAAGGTGCTCTCCTTTCTCTGTTTCCGGAAAGCGGAGTTATTTCAAAAAGTGCCAAACTGGGTAATGAGTTGCTACGTTTTTGTTGTCCTCCAATGACTGGGGGAAATGCTTCAATTTCTGAAAAGTGTTTTATTTTTATGATGTTTGTATTTTTATATGTTTTTTGTGTTTTTTGTATTTTTCTTGTATTTTATGCATTTTTGTGTTTTTTTGTATTTTTCTGTATTTTATGTGTTTTTGTGTTTTTTGTATTTTTGTGTTTTTCTTGTATTTTTGTGTTTTTTGTATTTTTGTGTTTTTCTTGTATTTTTGTGTTTTTCTTTATTTTTTGTATTTTTGTGTTTTTTTTGTGTTTTTGTATGTATTTTTTGTATTTTCTTGTATTTCTGTATTTTTTATATTTTCTTTGAAAAAATACAAATCAGAATTATGTATTTATTTTACTAAAAGTCTTTCTTTTTACTTTCAAAATCACTGCTATCCACTAATGGCTCTCCAATAAATCCGTTTGCATAATGAGCAGCTGGCCATAAAGCAGACAATGTATAACTGACTGGAATTATTGCTAATAAATTTGTTAGCAATAATAAACTGACAAAATGTAGTTGGAATTGTTGGGGCATTTTTTTAGATTTATTTTTTTAATAAATAATTAAATTCAGAATTTTTTAAAATTTATTCTAGAATGTGTGAATTTTATTAAATTAGTAAAATACAAATTAATTCTGGTAAAGAAATCAAAGGAAAATACAGAAAAATACATATATACGGAAAAAATACAATCAGAATTCTGATTTAAATATTACTAAAACACATTTCTTCTGAATAATTAAATATTAGGAAAAATACAAATCAGAATTTTTGTATTTTTTTATTAAATCAGAATTCTTTTGTTCAAAATTCTGCTATTATTCTGCTATTTAAATTCTGATGTTAAATCAGAATTTTAGTGTTTTTCCTTTAGGTAAAACACAAATCAGAATTTAATAAATATTTTTGTATTTTCGAGAAATTATTAAAAATATTATTTCTGGTTTATTTTTATTAAAACAATTAAATAAATATTTATCATTATTTTTCATCCAACCATTAAGGATTATTTAATTAGGCATATGCTATATTATTATTATTTTCCACAGAATTAATTATTAAAATGTGTGGGATTTTATTAAATTATTAAATAACTTTTTGACATAATGGCAAAAAATTGGGGTTGTGGCGAAGTGAAAAATTTTATAAATTCTGGAAAAAATTCTTTTATAAAAAATTCTCAAGCTTTAAAAAAGAGGAATTGAAAAAATAGCTTTTTTGACAAAAGATTTTATTTTCACACGCAGATTCAAGGATTTTGCCTTAACTATTATATTAAGGGAAATAAAAGGGTATTTTATTATTTAATTAAATTCGTCATCTGATTTAAAGAAAATACAAAAATTCTGAAATAAAATAGAGGAAAAATACAAAACAGAATCTGTGTTTTTGGTAAAATACAAATCAGAATTTTTGTATTTTTTCGCTAAATCAGAATTCGAATTAAAATCAGAATTAAAAATCAGAATTATGATATTGCAAAAACACATTTCTTCTGAATAATAAGTAAAAATACAAATCAGAATTTATGTGTTTTTTAATTAAAAATCGGAATTCTGATATTGCAAAAATACATTTTTTCTGAATAATAATAAAAGTAAAATACACATCAGAATTTATGTGTTTTTAAATAAAAATCAGAATTCTGGTCTCTTCTGAATAATAATTAAATAAAAACACAAATCAGAATTTATGTGTTTTTTTTAAATCAGAATTCTGGTAAGGAAACAGAAAATACAAAAATACAATTTTTGCAAAAATATTAGGAAACATTTATTTAACCAGAAGTAAAATTTAAATAGAAACATTTAAATATTAAAAATTACTCAACATCCAAATAAGGATTTTAAAAAATAATTTCCCTATTTTTAAAAGCAATTTTATTTAATTTTTGAATTTTTAAAAATAATCATTTTTTTATTCTTTTTATATTTGGACTCTCAGCAGGAGAGGCAAAAATTTTTTTAAATCAGAAAAAAGAAAATTTCAGATTTTTTTCAAAAATAAAACAGAAAATAAACTCGTCGTCACAACTAACGTTAGCTTGAGAGTGAAAAAATTTTTTTTTCAATTTTTGTGATGTTGAAAAAATATTTAAATTTAACAATTCTGTGACGGCAATCCACAGAAATAAAATAATAAAAATGCAAAAGTTTTTTTATATTTTTATTTTTCCAATTCCAATTGCCATAACTCTTCATTCAAATTAGTTCGCAGCTGGATGGCCAAATCTTGGGGGTAGTCTACAAACCATTCATTTCTGTTTAGAAAATGATGAAAAGGGTAAATATATGTAAAAGTTGGTAAATGACGTTGAGAAAAAAATTTTTTTTGAAAAAAAATTTTTTGAAAAAATTAAAAAAAAAAAATTTTTTTGAAAAAATTTAAAAAAAAATTCTCAAAAATTTCTTCCAAAAAGACTATTGTTTAATTATTAAAAAATTTGAAAAAAAAATTATGCAAAAATGGGATATTTTGTCATTTTTTGAAATATTTGGATGAATTGTCATTTTTCAAGATTTTACTTATTTTTCAAAAAATCAAAAAATTTAAATAAAATTGTTCTTACCCCGTTAACAATTCAATGTCTCTAATGCGTGTAGTATGCCGGAAAATGTATTCAACAGAGAACTATGAAAATAAAATTATTTTTGAGGGGTTTTTGTTCATCCTTTGGACTTAAGTATTCACCTCCTCCCAACCTAGCGGGTTAGAACAAAAATGAGAATCATCATACATTGGTGGATGGTTTAGCGGTTACCAAACCTTGCATCGAAAAACTTTCAAGACTCACTGATATCCCTCGATATCCCTTCGAATCACCCGATGTCCACCTTAATGTCACCCAAATCCCTGGAGATCTCTTTCGATCCCCCACACATAAAAGAATAAAAATTTAGGGTAGTGGGAGATTGGGAACGACAAGCCTAACGGATTTCTCCCATAATGGATTGTCCAGACACGAATTCAACTCCTCTCCCAACCATCCCCCCCCCCCTCTAAAAACCTACCAAACAATTCAAATCCTTCTCAACTATAGGCAACACAAAAGCCAATGTTCTCGTCTGTTCCAAATCCTCACATTGCCTTCCTTCACTGTTCCAACTAGAATTGGAACACCGCAACAAAATTAGAAAGATGTGTGAAGGAATTGGGGTAAATTTAACAGCATTTTTTATTCCCCCAAGAATTATTTCATCCGCAATTCCATCGTTATTGTGGTCAAATATAGGGCCCGACCACATTAATAAATGGCGGTAATGTTGGACATATTGTTTTGTTAAACTTTGAATTTGTTTCCAAACACCTAAATTTTAGTCATATTTTTAAACAATCAGACGATACCTTCAATTCTACGTACAACCCAGTTTCGCCTTTAATTTCTCTGCCTTAAGGGTGTCCGTAAAACAGAGGTTCTTCTGTCGAACCAAACGTACTATACTACCAGAGATCGAGCCGGGTCTGGGCCAAGACAAGGGTCTTTCTTGAACCCCATCATAATTATCCTTGACTTTTTAGGTCTCCGCTATATACAAAGCTCGCCTCTCATTATTAATACATCTGGAAAGATTCAAGAAGACCAAGAACACTGTTAATATTCCTCCCCCACACTAAGAGGTTAGCCCTTGGCATTTTTAAAGTTCAGTCTTCCAGTATAATGCTAAGGCAGACTCGTTGACTGATATAACCGTTGTGATGCTATATCCGCGAGATTCTGGAAAGGAACCTAAAGATGGATCCCACCCTGGCTAGCCGTCCGCAATAATATCCCATGTGACCTTATATCAAGAGTCAGCCTAATTTTAATTTCTATTGTTCTATTTTTGGCTGATAAATTTTCTATTTTTTGCTCGCTTATTAAATATTTATTTTTTAATTTTTTCTCATTCTAATAAATTTTTAAAAAGATTCATAAAAATAAATTTTTTTGAATAATTTTTAACTTGCCATTGTAAAAACCTATGGGCACTCGAAATTGGCCTTGAAGTATATAACGAGCATAATCTTTATTTTAACAATAATTTTAACAATTTTGCTAATCAGTAAGATTACCATCATCAGAAAATATACTAATAATTGTAGTTGATAAGGGGGTGTTATTGGAGTCAAAATTATTATTTATAGAAGTTTGTTTTTCATATATGGCACATTTGTTAAGGTCGGAGTTTTGTTGATTAGTGGTTGGTTGGGTTGGGAAAGTGGGTTGTTGGGAAGAGATTCTTGAATAAATTGTGGAAAAAATTAAAGAGGGATTTTAGAGTCTAGTAAATGAGACCTTGGTTAAGTCCAAGCCTCATAACTCTGGAACCAGTGAACCGATTCTAATGAAACTTATGTCATTCGATAGAGCTTTAAATTTGCTACTAAATAAAATTTAAATTAAAATTCTATCTTAAAAATAAAAAAAGTTATCGCTCTTAAACTAACTAGATTTCAATAAAATCGTTCACCTTCTCCCAGTTTTTTCTCTAATAAAATTTTGTATTTTTAATTTAAATTTTAGTTTCTTCGCTTTTTAGATAGCTAATTTAATTCTCTATCGAATGACACCAAAATCGCTTCGAACGGTTCACGCGTTCATTAGTTACAAAGACTTTGACCCAACTGTACTCTTCTCCTTCTTCTACCCACCCATTTAAATTTTGATCCGAAAATTTATTTCCTCCATTGTTTCCACCCATTTCCGACTCGGCTTGTCTATTCCAAGGTTCAGGCGAGTCAGTTTCTAAGACCGTTGGATCACTATCTCTTGCATCAGTCTCAATATCGTTCAAATCTTTTTCTTGTTCTTTAAGGTTTTCTGGTGGTGTTGATTCTTTTTCCATTGATGTTGTTGTTGATCTTAAGAAGATACTTAAAGAGGGAAGACGAGGTAAGAAGTGAAGTTTACTGTAAAGCAAACACAAGACTCTAATGTCCTAAGTTGATCAATAGGATGGTGATAAACTGGGTTAACCTCCAAAAATAAGGGGTACAGCCCGGCGCGCGGCCATAACGGCGCAAAGCCATAACTTGCTTCAAGATTTCCGAATCTTACCAAAATTAGTATTAAACGATTCCTCTCATCGAGCTAAAGAGATTGGTAACAAAATTGATACAGGCCAGAAATTTTACAGAAAGTTATGGCTTTGCGCCTACTTGGCGCGCGCCGTTATGGCGCGCGCCTAATTGGGCGTGTCCCACAATAAGTGTCATTAGAGTCTAGATAAAAATATGGCATTTGAATAGGCGACATTAAAGCCTTGGACGGATTACTTGTTCTATTTAGAATTAAATAAACACCTTTTAACGTCAAATGATCTTCCTCCATTATTGGCTCCTTCATTAACAAAATGGGACGAATTGTCCACTTGAGTATCCTCTCCCTTCATTTTCTCATTCAATCTTCCCCTCAAATTTTCCTTTGAAAAATCAAAAAATACAGTACAATTTGCCCTATGGTCAATATTCGGAATTGGGGCAGTCATTTGAGTCTCCACAAAATTTGCCATTTGAGTATATCTATTGTACACTAGAGTAGCGTTGCATAATCTCAACAGACACATTTGGCCAACAGAAAAGAATTTGAAGGGGATTGATATTTTTGAGGGGTATTTGCAATTTTTGCTGTTGTAAATAGGCACGTTATTGTTGTTATTTTTATTTTCTTCTGATTTAGAGGAGGAGGCGGTAGTGGAGTAATAAAAATTGGAAGGGTAGTTTAACTATGGAAAAAAATTTTTGAAATTTTTTGAAATTTTTTGAAATTTTTTAAAAATTTTTGAAATTTTTTGAAAATTTTTGAAATTTTTTGAAATTTTTGAAATTTTTCGAAAATTTTGAAATTTTTTTAAATTTTTTGAAATTTTTGAAAATTTTGAAATTTTTTTAAATTTTTTGAAATTTTTGAAATTTTTTGAAAATTTTAAAAATTTTTGAAAATTTTTGTAATTTTTAAAAATTTTTGAAAATTTTTTCCTTACATTAAATTTGCATCCATCTCCACACTTTACAAGTCTAGCACCTTCGCATTCTTCCAAATCTATCATTGCCGTTTTTTCGACAGGAGGGGGCGATTTGAGTAGAGAATGTAAACGACCCATAGTTCCGTTATTTGGAGCAGTGAAGGGCAATTGCATCAAAACTACAAACTAGCACTAACCAATTATTTGTTTAAAAACCAATTATTTGGTTTTATTTTTTGTAAGTCTCTAATAGGGGTTTGAATTAACGATAAAGCTAGTTGGTGCCAATGCTCTATGTACCTATTATTGTTAATATTTTTCAAAAATTATTTTCAGGGCCATCTTAAAAGTGGGGGTGTTCCTTTCACACTACCTAGTAGTGTGAAGGGAACATAAGGATAACAATTACGTAAATCCAACTAATATGTACCCGTACTCTAATCAAACAAGTCTATACTCAAGTGCCTATACTCAAGTGTCCCAATTATTTCTAAAATTATTTTCAGGGCAATCTTAAAAGTGGCTGTTCCCTTCACACTACCTAGTAATGTGAAAGGAACATCAAATTAATTATATCATTAATTATTACCAATTATAATTATCAATTAAATTGGACCAAATAATTGTTACCAATTAATTGTCCCACTTAAAAAATATTTTTCAAGCCTCTAATAACCCCCACCTGTAAACAAATTGTAAAGTTCAATGTTTTGGAAGGGTTCGATTTGATATCCATTTTTAATTGAAGGACCCCAAGCACCAAAAATTGCCCTCATTTCACGCATTCTATTATCGTATCCATGGTCTCCTTTTTCCATAGGGCCGTGTTCCTTTAAGCTTTTTTGATCAACAAAAACACGCCCTCCCGCTGTTGAATCTATCACTATTTCTCCTATTCTGCTGCTTCTTGTATAGCTATTAAAATTTTCGATTATTTCATTGAAAATTCAATTTTACTGATATCGCATAGGCATAGTATAGCGCGTGTAAACTCTAAACTTCTGGCCACCTAAGCACGTCATTGGAGCAAGAACTTGATCAATGAACGACGAATCTGGAATAGAATGCGATGAGTACTTCTACTAGACTCTAGTGTCCAGACTCCCCTAGACTCTAGTGTCTCTTCTTCCATACTCTAGCGTCCAAATATACTCTAGTGTCCATCAGAGGTGGGTCGGAATTCCTATTTCGGCGTTTTTTTAGTTCCGATTTCCGGAAAAATTTTTGTTCCGATTTCCGACTTTTGAGCCAGTTCCGATTTCCGACACCTCTGACTGTTCCGACCCACCTCTAGTGTCCATATTCCCAGGACTCTAGTGTAAATATTATAATGCTAAATTTCCATAACTCTAGTGTCTAGACTCTAATGTCCAGCTATACTCTAATTTCCAAAATTTCCAGACTCTAGTGTCCATCTTTATTTTTTCAATAAACTTACTAGTAGAATCACGAAAATTAATATGTCCAATAGTTCCTCCAAAAACACCCCCAACTTGTGAGTCTTTGGCATTAACATATTTATCCAGAGAGAAAAAATTATCACTTCGGAGCTTTTGAGCACATAAAAAAAATTTTTTTTAATTTAATTAAAATAAATCTATTTTATTTATTTACCATGGTCTGAAAGGATTACTATATTGATGCATCCCAGTAGACCCTAAAAATTGAGAGGTTTAGTCCAAAAATTATTCACAGACTCTAGTGTCAAGGAACAAAAAATGTTGCTAGTTTGTGAGGAAAACTAGTGGACGGCGCGGGACGGGATCCCGTACGGGATTTTGCGGGATACCGCTCCCGCAATCCCGCACTTTTTCCGATTTGGGGGATTTTGCGGGATTTATCCCGCGGGATCCTGTCCCGTAAAATTTTTTGAAAAAATCCCGTTACGGGATCCCACAAATACGATTTTACCGACCTCTAAGGAAAACTATCAGGAAAGGGGCGTTTGAGTCTGTTTTTTTGGGGGCATTTGAGTCTCAAAATAAAATTTGACATTTGAGTCTGGTCTTTTCCAAAATTATCAAACTGACGTTATCGTCCAACTGGTGCATTAAATAATTAATCATAGCATCCACATAAATTAAAGCAGAGTTAACTGCATCCGAGTCGGGGCCCTCCCGATGCATTGCTGTATCAGGCTGTTCAAAATACCTTTGAACTTAATTTAGAAATATTTTTTGGGTAAATTCACATTGCCAAAAAAGATGGCCTTTCAGACTCTTCTAACTGTAGCCAGTCAATCACCTTAATTTTTGGGGGTCATTAGAGTCTCAAATGAAAAAGTGGGTCATTCGAGTCTTTTTTCTTACTTGTCTAGCACGTGTAAAGAAGGGTTTGGACGAGTCGTAGGCAAAGCGGTAAGTAGGCAAAATTCCTTGAATTGCCACTTCACTCCCTGGCCAAAAGAAAACTGCCGATTTCTTTCCATTTTTTGCTACAGTATTCCAAATCTATAGAATATCCCAAAAGAAAATTTTAAAAAAATAAATTCTTTAAATAACCGGCTCTCCGTTATACCAAGCTGGATTGCGCGATGATTTTGCAAAATTCTTCTAAAAATAGATGGGGATTATAAGACTCTAGTGTCCATTATTTTAAAAAATGGGGATATCGAGACCAGGGATGTGCGCCATTGCGTTTTTTGCCGATTTTGGCGTTATTGCGTTTGGCGTGTTTTAAGAATTTGAAAAATTGGCGTTTGGCGTTTTGCGCGCCACGCGAAAATTTTGGCGCACATCCCTGAACGTGACTCCTCTTTTAGTGAGTTTATTAGAGTCAGGGATCTATTAAAGCATCTTTAATTTAAAAAAATAATATTATAACCACCTCATTAGGCATATATTCATCATAAAAATGATTGTCAACAATTCCATGTGATTCTGGATATAGTCCAGTTACAATAGTAAAATGATTCGGGAATGTTTTGGAAGGAAATGAAGGAAGCATATATTGCGCCTAGATTTTTTAATAAAATAAATTTTTTAATTTTTTAAATTACCGAAGACCCGCATTCAAGAATGCGAGAGACAGAGTGAGTTATTCCTCTTTTTAAATAATCTGCTCGAAACCCGTCCATACTAATTATTAGTAGAGGAGGCACAGAAAAGCTGAAAATTAGTTTGTATACTTTTTTTAATTAAAATTGAGACTCTAGTGTCACCAAGGAGACATGGGACTCTATGAATGGTCGAAACCCGTCCATACTAATTATTAGTAGAGGAGGCACAGAAAAGCTGAAAATTAGTTTGTATACTTTTTTAATTAAATTTGAGACTCTAGTGTCACCAAGGAGACGTGGGACTCTATGAATGGTGAATCCAGATCCGAGACTCAAATGTACTTGAGACTCAAAAGTAAATAGACATGTGGCAGGGCTGTGCGTCATGGGTTGTGCGTTTGGCGTCCATTTTTGGCCGATTTTTGGCGTTTTGCGTTTGGCGTGATTTAAAAATTTGAAAAAATGGCGTTTGGCGTTGGGCAAGCACACGAAAATTTGGCGCACAGCCCTGACATGTGGGACTCGAGTAGGTGACCCTCATAGGTAGGTGACTCTCATAGGCCCCCACCATTGAGACTCAATTGTCCGAAAACCTTAGACTCTAGTGTCCAAAAATAAAAATCCTCAATTAATAATATATTTCCCTACTTTGCATTGCATTTGTGATCACAACTATATTGCCAACTTGAATGTTTGTTAAGAAAATCAACATCATCGTTTTCTTCCCCGTTTGGCCATCTAACAGAAAGAAGAACAAAAACAAGTGAAATAATTAATAAAATGGCTAGAAGAGAAAGTAGAGCAACCAAACAAAGCAAAAAACGCCGACTAGCTAATGGCCGTTGGCAGAAATTTGAAAACCAGGACCTTGGCATTTCGTTGATTTTTGTTTGAGGGATGAAAATCTTTAATGATTAAAAATTTAGTGTGCGCCAAAAATATTTTTGTGGGGCGGTTAGAACGCCAATTTTGGCGTTCAGGCCAAAAAAGTATTTTTGCGCACAACAAAATTTCAAAAACTAAAAATCACTCACAACATCCTTAGATTTCCTCTCCTCACTATTTTTCCTATTTTCTTCCACTCTCAATTTTGTACTGACATCACCATTAGTATCGTTATTGTTGTAATAATTTCCTTCAAAACTAAGCACAACGGGTTGATTAGCTGGAGAACGGAGGGAAATTGAGTGAAAATTCCCTCCATTTGAATTTTTATTTTTCACCAAATTTTGTTGTTTTTGGCTGTTTAAATTATTATTTGTTGTTGTTTTAGTGTCAGATGAAGCTGGGATTTGTGTTTTGATAATTGGTGAAGATAGTGACATTTTAAAAAGTAGCTTTTTGGGATAAGTAATTTTTTGTGTGTTCAAAAAGCTCGTAAAGGTTTAGTTAAACTCAGCTACCTAAAATTATAAAATTTTTAGAAATTTTTATTGGGCCAATCCTTATTGGGAAACACCTCATTTATTCAGTAGAATCTAGTTTTACCCATTAGAGTACGAATTTTAACAATTAGAGTCTGAAATCTTTTTAAATTTTAAGTAGCTTTACAAGAGGGGGTATTTTACTGCGCGTTTAAAAAGCTCGTTTCTAGTTTTGGCCATTAGAGTCTAGAATGAATTTTGGCCTAAATGAGGTTGATCAATTGGGGTATAACCAGGGTTTCGATCTCGAATTTTTAAAAATCCGCAAATTTGATCGAAAAAATCCGCATTCTATATCAAAAATCCGCAAAAAATTTTCAAACACAAAAATTGAATTAAACGCACTTTATGCATTGTATTTTTCGTCCTCTACAATTGAATTAAGCAATTTTTTTTATTACTAATGATCATCTTATGAAAATCCAACAACTATCTGAAAATTTACACTTGCATTTTTGTCGCGGAAGATGTAACAACTTTTTATTTCTCCATTTTCAGCGCCGCAGGCGAAAATTTTTTTAATTTTGGAAGATCTTTAAGCCAAAAATCGTTCATTTTGAGGCCAGGCAAAAAATTTTGAGGATTTTAGATGGTCCTAGCGGAAAAATAATGGCATTTTTGCTAAAAACCACAAGAAAATATAAAAAAATCCTCATAATCTTCAAAAGACCACATAAATCCGCAAATCCGCATTTTAAAAAATAATCCTCATCGCCCTATCGAAAAACCACAAAATGAGGAAAAATCCGCAGATATCGAAACCCTGGGTATAACTTATATAATTTAAATCAAAAATGTTTTCGAGGCTACTTGACACAATCTTGATTTTGCTTTTACTTAACGGCAAATATAAAAGTTTTTTTATCCAGACAACCTACTATTTTTGCTTTAAATTTTTTTCTCAAATTTATTAACGTAATTTGGCAAACAAATAAACAAACAAATAAAAAAAATAATTTTCTAAGAGCGCAAAGGAAAAGAAGCTTGAAAAAAAAATAAAAATCTTGGAACGCTTAATTAAAAATAAAATGACGGAGAGAGAAACTTATTTTTGAGTTAAAAATGGGAGGGAAAAATATCATCTTTAATTTCAAATATTTTAGGAATTGGAATTACTCACTCAATTATTTGCTACATAAAAGTGAATCACTGGAAAATGTCCAAACTACATTTTCTGACCCTAATGTATGGAGGCTGGAAGTGACAGGCTTGCTCTTATAGCTGAAGTAGCGGGGTATCAATGTATATAAAAGCTCCTTATCATGCCACATAAATTTTGCCAATTTCGCCCTTTTTTGCCCCCAATTTCCCATCAAAAGCCTCTTATCACCCCTATATAAACCCTTACTGTTCCAATCAAGTAAAAGAAGCTCTCTCACTTGGCCTACTGTAAAAGAGAGACCGTTTGAGACCGTCTCGGGTGGTGATATAAAATGGAATAAATGAGGATGTGGATGAGATGATAATCCGAAACAAGGTAGAGTTAATTTGGAGGTTGGGTTAAAAGTGGAGGTATAAAAGCCACAGTGAGGCGAATACGGTCAGAATAAAATTCCCAACTTTTCCCCTTATTTTTAAAATAAGTGAACACAAAAAATTATTTTGAATGACATTAAAAATTTTAGTTTTAATGCATTTTTATCAAAAAATGTGTGTCAGTTAATATTTTGTTTCCGCTATTAAAAATTTTTTGCCACTCAAAAATATCAATGAATAAACAATGAATGACCGCATGAATTGTTCTTTTCCTTCACTTTTATATTTTTAAAAATTTTTTTATAAACTTGTAGTCAGTTTCAAAATTGAAAGGGGAAAATTTTCCTCCGCCCAGAAAAACTAAAGAACAAAAAAGTTTCTTCCAAAGAGGCATTAGAGTCTCTCGGAGACTTCCAAAGAGACTTTTGTGAAGTCAAATCAAATCCCCCTGGTGATCTTCAGACTTTAATAGACCAAAATTTCTTAAGGCAATATTTTGGGCGGAAGAAAATTTTTCCCAAGAAAGAATATTAGAGTCTGAGTTTTGTGGAGAAACTCGCCTCACTCCCTCATTTTTCAGACTCAAATGGACTAAAATGTTTATAAGGCTGTTTTGGGAATAGAAGACAAACCAGAAGATGGGTTTTATAATCGCTTTTAAATTCCTCTTAAATTCCCTTTAAATTGGCTATTAAATTGCCTTCAATTTAACTTCCTAAAAGAATAATGGTTAACCGGATATTGAGACAAGAATTTAAATTATCCTAAAAAGGAAAGATACATGACGAATAAATTGAATTGAGGAGAAATGATCAAGTGATTGTTAAAAAATGTCAAATGATCCTCAAATTGTCAGAAAAAAAATTTTTATAGCCAGAGGCAAGTTTAAGTGTAAATCGAATTTTTTTATTTTTTGAAGTTGAAATTTTTTATAATAAAAAATTTTATATAATAAAATCATATTTATAATAAAATCAAGCTTAAAATGGCCTCAAGACTTGAAAGTCTTTAAAATGTAACCCCCAAATTTTGACAATTTTAAGTTGACATTTTGACATTTATGAATATTGTAATAGAATCAGGCTTGGAATAGTCTATTCTTATCAGTTAATAATCAAATAACAAAAGAGCCCGTTCCTTTAAAGAGCCCATTTATTACCACCGAAAACCCTACCTCCCTTCACTTGTAAAAAGAAAATGGAAGATTTAAAATAGGATTTTATCACAAATAAGTGAAAAATTGTTAGATTTGGATGAAAAATAATCAGAAAAATGTTAACCAAATTTAAATCACTTTAAGCATGTGAAGAATAATAAATACACCCATAATGAACAGAATAACCAAAATAGCAACAAAAATAATAGTCCATTTCAAATTGCGAAGCCACATTGTACGTCTAAGTTGTTGTCCAGTTTGAGTAAATGTGTGAGCCTTTGATTTATGAAATTTTTCAAAAAATTTTCAAAAAATTTCTGAAGCTTTGGAAAAATTTTAAAAAAATTTTTACAGGCAGGACACTTTAAAAAATTCAAATAAAAATCATTTTTCACCAAAAGGGGTTCGAACCCACCCCTTCTTTTCGACCAACTCACTCAAAACACAAACACACCCAACTGAGCCAATCTAACCACACTCCTTCATTCTATAATTACTCGACTTAAACTCAACCTAAAACCCTCACCGACTCCTGCAGTGCATCACTTTGTTGTTCCAAGCTGTCTAAGCGACCGCCACGGTCCATAATACGAGTCATATTCTCAGACATGACCTTAAAAGATTAATTTTATATTTTTCTTTCTCTCAAAAAATTACCGAAGTAACATCTTGTACTTGTCTTTGTACTTGTTCAATTTTTCTGTTTGTATTTGCTTGATTATTAGGTGGTGGATCCATTCTTTTACATTAAAAATAATTAAAAAAATTTTTTAGAAAAAAATAATAAAATATTTTAGCTATTTTTCCAAGCAATTTTTTAATCAATTAAAAATGTAGAAAGGAAAAATATTTTTTTATTCCAGTATGACTAATAATAAATTTTTATTTTTAAATATGAAATTGTGGTCTTTTTATTACATAATATTCAAAGAGGTGAATTGTACTTTTAAAAATTTTTAAACATTGGTAAGAAAAAAATATAGCGAATATTAAAGATCGGACTGCGAGAGGGTCGTATGTGAGAATCTAGGCAGGGATGTGCGTCATGGCGTTTTGGCGCGCCACGCATTGATTTTGGCGCACATCCCTGAATCTAGGTGGAAATAACTCGAAAAATCTCAATTTATGTCCGAGATAGTCTCTCAGTCCGAGCTTCAGTAAATTTTTTATAAAGAGAAAAAAAAGTGAATTTTGAAAGGAGAACAAAATTGGAGATAATAAAAATATTTTTTATAATAATAATAATAATCAGAATATGCAAATAATATTTAAAATAGAATATTTTTTAGGCATTTTTAACCTCAATTATATATCCAAAAAATTCATTTAAATAATTTTTATGCTTTTTGTGCACATTTATTTTTTGTTAATAAAAATAAGGATAATAAAGTAGAGATAGGCAGGCATTGTTATAATTGTCAAAAAAAAGAAATTTAAAAATAAAATCAAAATTTTTGAAATGTATAGCTAAATGAGAGAGAAGAGCTCTAAAATAATAAAAAGGCATTTTCAAAGAAAAAAAGAACAAATTATTTTTCAAATTTTACAAAAGGCACGAAAGAAAAAATTGTAGAAAATGAAGAAAGGGCACAATTTTCAAGGAAAGTCTATTAAAAATATAAGTATATATTTATAGATATTTTTGTCAAATTTGAGAGACAAACATAAAAAATATTTAGATGCAAATTGTCTTCCAAAAAATTAAGTAAAAAATAAATAAAGGAATGATTTTCTTTCCCTTATATTATTTAATAAAAAACAATTTTGTATAGTAAAATATTAGTGCTGGATAGTTAGGATTAAGCTAAAGTCTAAATGTAAACGAAAAGATTTATAAGGAACACTTTGGAAGTTTTCAGTCCATAGAAAGGATTCAAAAGGCTCAGAGTTCTAGAAAGTGTTTCCATCGTTTGGAAGTTTTCAGTCCATAGAAAGGGCTCAAAAGGTTGTCCTAGAAAGTGTTTCAAGATATTTTCCAAAACGAGGGTCTCCCATGGGGCTAAAAAAGTTGTCGAAAGTATTTTTATTATCTTAAACACAGTTAAAGCCCTCAGAATCCTAAAAACATTTTTCGTATTTTTATCGAGTCAAGAACAGTTAAAACCCTCAGAATCCCAAAAAAAATTTTTTTAGGAATTTAAGCCCAATTCCAATCTAAAAATTACTTAACTATCCAGCATCAATCATTAAAAATAACAAATACTTAATCTGTTAGTCCTCATGTCATTCAACAAAAGGTTGAAAAAGATCCTCATAATCTGGAGGTGTTTTGTCCTGTCCAACAGGTTCAATTAATACTTCACTACCTTTAAGAGTTATTGGATGTGTTTGGTAATAAAAAACAAGCTCAGCAAGTGTTGAATGGACCAATTGGTTTGTACCTTTCAAAGAAAAAAAATTTCCCTCAAAAAAATTTTTTTTAAAAATACCCATAAACTGGTATCCATCAACAATTCTTTCAACAAGAAAATTTTTCAATCCTTCCACAGCTCTGTAGGAGACAGTATATCCAAAAATACGCTCAGTGACTCGTACAAGAAAAGCTCCTGTTTGTTTGCCAATTAAAAGTTTTTCGGCTTCTTCTCGAGAAATGATTCCTTTAAAATTATTTAAAGATTATTTTTGAGGTTTTTAGGAAGAGAAATTTTCTGGGAAAAGGATCAAGAATGTCATAGGTTATTCGAAACATGGACAACTTTAACAACTTTACAATCCAAAATCCAAACCCAATTAGAGAAATTGTGAAAATCCACTAAAGGGAAGAAATCAGGGCTTCTTGGCTAACTTTATAGAAAAAGGAAGTCCTCCAATTTTAGGAGGAATTTTCTGAGAGAAAGCTTATTAAAGACAAAAAATATACCATGAAACCACTTTGGCGGTGACTGTCCTCTCCATTGTTCTAATTCAGAATTCCAAAACCAAGTTAAAATTGCTCGTCGACTTTTAGGTTTTGGAGGTCTAGGCAAAGCTCTGAGAGCGTCCCTTATTGAATTTGCACATGTTGGCTTCTCTTTAAAGAGAGGTAAAAGTGCATCTGATGTTCGCATATTCTTTCTATGTTGATCCCTACAAAATATTGATTCGAATAAATTGGAAAAGAATAGAATAAGTTTCCATTAGGGTCTAACAGATTTCTCAACAGTTTCAAAAGAAAATTTGGAAATCTTCGAACCAGTTCGTCAGTTAAGTTTTGATAGGTTCACCCCAGAAGGTCAAGACCCAAAAGGTAAAAAACCCTGAAACCCCCAAAATATCAAGTCCAAAAATTTAGTCGGATCAGAGGGAATTAAGATCAAGAATACGTTAGCCTGCTCACCTTTGCGTTTCTAAACCCTTGTGTCGAAACTTGAAAAAATTCCCCAATTTCATTCCGAAAATTCTCGAAATAATGCTCAGTCCTCAATATTATTCGCGGACTGGCTTGTTTAGTCTAGGCCTATCACTATCCGAAAACCTCAATAAAATAAAAAACCTCGCTCGTGCTGCAATTCGTCTAACAGATTCCTCTGCTTCTCGAGCTTTTCGTTTCCTTTCTTCATATTCAGCCTGCTCTCGACGAGCCTCCATTTCTGCTTCACGTTCTAATCTGTCTCTTTGTTCCTTTAATTGTTCAAAAATTTTGGATTGTCTTTTTTCGATTTCTTCCGGTGGAATATAGCTTCGAATTGTCTGAAAAAAATTTTTTTTCTAAATGATTAAGAATCAAAATTTAATTTTTATCATTTTTATGCCATTTTTAGACGGTGAAGAATTACTAATAAGTTAAATTTTCTTGTCAAGTAATCGGCGGTGTGGTTGATAAACTTTTAGGTTTACTAGGGGGAGGGTAAAAGGTTCGACCCCACTCGTCCTCATTTTATTTTTTCGTATAAAAATGGCCAGTTAAAATCTAAAAATGGCTGAAAAAATTTTTTTTGGAAATTTTTTTGAATTTTTAAAAAATCACAAAAAAATTTTATCAAAAATTTTTAAAAGTCAAATTAATTTTAAACCTTTTAAGCAATTTTAAACTAGGGAGGAGTCATTTACTTAAAATTCCCTCTTAAAATAATCGGTGGTGTAGTGGATAAACTTTTAGGTTTACTGGGGGAAGGGTAACAGGTTCGAATCCTTTTGCCTTCCTTTTATTTATTCAAGTAAAAAATGGTAAGTAAAAAAATAAAAAAATGACTCAAAAAATTTTTTAAAAATCCCTAAAAAATTTTTTAATTAAAAAAACTAACGTTAAACTCCAAATTTTGTTCATCCCCATCATTCCGCTCCACAAAACGTGTCTCATTTCCCATATGGCTGCTAATTGTTCTTCGCAAACTTGCAGGTTTTTCAGGTATAGGTGGAGGCATAGAACGCTCATTTCGTTTAATATCGATTCTTTTGGTGCCATTTAATTTGTCAAAGGTTGATTGCCTTCTTAAATCGTAAGAATTTTGTGGGGCAAAATTGGCAGCAGAATGAGACGGGGAAACCAAATTATCTTTAAAAAATTTTGGAAAATTATCTTCCTTAACAAACAAAAAAACCATAAATTTCATTTGAATCTGGAAAAGACAGACTTGTTTTATCCGCCATAATCATTTTACTAGTTAAATATCCATTGTTTTGAAGCCGAGAGTCTATTAAATTATTCATTTTTTGGCCAAATGAACGAGTTGTTGCAATATTGTTTTCAAGAATATCATCATTTATGCTGCTTTCATCGGGTAATTCATCATAGGGAGAATAAGAATCAGTCTAAAATGGAAATTATGAAAGACGTTCGGGCAAATAATCTTCGCAATATAGCTAGGAAGATAAAAATAGAATGGCAATGGACGGTGTTGGAAAGGGATCAATAAGGCAAGGGAAAAGGATAATAGAAAGCATGTGTGCGAAAGCAATCAATTTTATCTCAAAAGCAAGGCAAAAGGTTCAAATCATTGTCAGAATCCAACCCAGTCTCTAAATTACCCTGGGTCAGTTCCAAACTTACACAGGGTCCCTTAAGCTATTTTTAAAACAATCACGTGTTGGAACGGAAACACTATGGCAAGGCAAAAGATTATACTATATGAAGCAATCAATACTATATGAAGCAATCAATTTTGTCTCAAAATCTAGGCAAAGGTCCAACTCATTGTCAGAATCCGACCCAGTGTCCAGCCTACTAAGGGTCAGCTTCAGCCTTGTTTAAGTCCACTCCAGTTATTTTTAAAACAACCACATCAATGTTTGGCCCAGTTCTCAAGCAATTTCCCTATCTATCTAGAAACCTTATTGTCCAGCTCAGAATCAGTCCCATTCTGATTTAAATCAATTTTGGCCAATTCAGATTTAAGAGCAGCCTCTTCTTGGTCAATCAAACTTTGAATGTCTTCTGTCCTCTCGATATCCTGAATTATCTAAAATAAATAAAATTTCAAGAAATAAAAATTAAACCTCCTTCTCTGCCAAATTTTTTGCCCTTTCTTTTGCCTCATTCTCCAAAATTTGCTCAATGCTCAAGTCACTTGGGTGCTCCCCCATCACCCAAACCCAAACATTTCCATCTCGACCGTTCAACCATCTGAAAAAATGATATTTAAAAAAAGTGGACATTTTATCCCATATGTTGAATTTTCGATAAATCCCTCAAGTTTTGAGAAACCAAAAAATATAGGAAACCTGCTAGAGGTAAAAAATGATGCTGGACAAGAGCTGCACAAAAATGATCGAAAATTTTTGTTACGTGATTGCCTTAAAGGGAGAAAAGAAATTTTCTCTATTCCACTTAAGGCTAGAAAAGAACTGAAATTTCTTAGAAAAGAAGAGAAATCTTGATGAAGCTCTGATGCTGATTACGGCTTTGTGACTCTATTGAATTACCAAGAAAGTGATGGAAACAAGGAAGGGCCAACAAAAAACCCAAGCCTCCAAGATAGGATTGGAGGCCCGATCCGAAAGATCGAGTCGTGCCTCGAATTTTGGCCCGAAAAAGACTCGGTCGGGCCGGTCTGATAAAAATGAGGCCTGAAAAAATGACTCGAACGTCGGCCCGACTCGCAAAAAACCCAATTGTCCAAGACTAACAAAAACACCCACAAGTAGATTTACTTCCCTCCTTTTCCTTTCCCAACAATTACCCACTTTCCCCAACTTATCTAAAAAAATTTACTAAAAAGTATACTTGACTCTATGATGCTTATCATCCTCAAAATCGGTCCTCTGATTTCGATCTTGCCTCCTCTGATTTTCAAATTCAATGCTGGCTAGATCAGCCTCCCTAATTCGCCATTTTCTGAGTTGCTCTTCTCGCATTTTGATAAAAAGAATTTGTTTTTGTTCTTCCTCCAATTGCTCCAAGACTTTTGGATCGACATATCCCTTTAAATTAGAATAAAATTTATGTGTCTCAAGGCCAATCCTTCAGAATCAAAGGTCTACTCCAAAAAACCAGCAAATTTTCCAAGGGCACGGGAGACGACCCAAAGGTCCAAACAAAAGATTCGTTGAAATCAAAGGTTAAAAACACCCCTTTTTTGAGCTAGACTTGGATTCCAAAGGATTTCCCCCTAATTTAACAAACCTTCTCCAAAATTTCCTGAAGAACACTCATATCTTCAAAGAATGATTTTTGATCAAATTTTTAATAAATATCAGAAAAATACAAATTTTTCATAAAAACAAATTGCCCATAAAAATTAACAATTTACTGGCAATTCAATTTTTGACAAATATGTAACTTAACAAAAAATAAAATAACATTATAAAATAAGCCTCAAATGCTCTTTTCTTTACTGCATTCGTTTAATAAGGTGTCCAAATGTTGCTCTTCTTTTTTGGTGGTTCTGTAGATTCTTCCTCCACACCACTTTTCTCTTGAGATTTTGATTCTCGAACAAAAACAACACGCGAAGCTAAAAAAAATTTTTTTGAAAATTTGTATAAATTTTAGAACGAAAGTATTCACTAACTGAATATTCGGTAATAGTTAAGTTTGTGTTTCCCCTTTTCTTTCGGCTGTGGTGTAGTGTACCGAGGTAAAAGTTCGGGACGTGGCATGTCATTCGATTCGTCTCGACGAGCTGAGTCGATCAGTACCACTCCCAATTTCTGGAAATGATTCTGGACCGAGTTATAGGTCCCGAAATATTAAAAAACCATAGGGGGAGTAAGGTCGATTCTGGTATAATAAACTCGTTCCAGAATCATTTCCTGTAATTGATAGTGGTAACGTTCGACTCAGCTCGTCGAGACGAATCGAATGACATGCCACGTCCCGAACTTTTATCTTGATACACTACAGCCGAAAGAAAAAAAAAGTGGAAACGCAAATTTAACTATTACCAAATATTCTTTTCCGTATTTTGGTGTTTTTGCCCAGCTACGGGCTTGGTATTCCCCATATAGCAATTTTCCCCATCCAGCATTTCACTATTGTTTAGTACCTTATAATCCTAACTTAAAATCAGAAATGGGAAAAGCTCGATAAGGGTCAATCTCAAATATATGTTAGACGAAAGAATGACACTAGAACCGAGGACCAGTAGCAAAAGAGCCTAAACCCTAAAAATCGAAAATCGATAGGGACTAAAAATAGAAAAAAACGTAGGTTCAACGCGTACATGAGGCTGCTCCAGATGCCGATGATGACAATGTACGTTTAAGTTTAGCGGATTGCATCTTCATTTCCTGTTCCTCAATCAATTCTTTTTCTTTCGATTTCTTCTCCTCAACATCTTCTTTCAATTTTGATTTCTTAACATTAAAAGTCTTTTCAATCTTCGCAATTTTTTCCTCATCAACTTTGTCCATTTTTAATATTTTCTCTTCATTATCTTTTTCGATTTTATCAATTTCCTTCCCAATTTTAAGAATTTTATCATCCTTATCTTTGTCAAGCTTTCCCTTCTTATCCTCATTATCCTTGTCAAGCTTTCGCTTTTTCTCCTCATTATCTTCATCAAGCTTTCGCTTCTTTTCCTCTTTATCTTCGTCAAGCTTTCGCTTCTTCTCCTCATTATCCATTTCAATTTTTTCAATTTCATTCTTCTTTTTAACAATTTTTTCTTCTTTATCATTAATAAACTTTAATTTCATTTCTTCATTTTTTTCCTTTATAGCGGCAATCTTCTCTTCTTTTCCCTTATCAAATTTTGTAAGCTTCTCTTCCTCGTTTTCTTCAAGCTTCGAAATTTTTTCTTGCTTTTTTTCAACCGCCTCTTCTCCTTTTTTAACCTCCCGGTCAATTTTCTTGTCCATTCTAATTGTTTTCTTCTAAAAAATTTAATTTAAAAAATAATTCGAACACAGACATAAAAAATTAGGAATTTAAAATTTTTAAATGAAAAGTAGGTTTTTTGAAAAACTGAAAACTTAGGTACGTCGAAAATTGGGAGACATTACTCACACGTTTAATTTTCAACAAAAAATTGTTTCTAAACAAGAAATGGAAATCTAAGACCTAAAAATGGATGTGTTGTATATTTGAATTAACTTACTTAACAAAGAATAACTCATTGATAAAAATCAATGAAAACAAGTAAAAACTTTGCTACATTCAAAACAACCCCAAAATAATTATTAAATAGTTTTTTGGCGAAGTGTTTAAAGCACTAATTCAAAAAATGATAAGAGATCCCCATTTTTATGTTAGTCATACAGATTTTTTTTCAGCATGTTTTAGGTTAACAGGGTTGGAAGCTTTCTTACTTTTTGCTGTGTCCGAGAGTTGTCCAAGTCTGCCAAAGTTGACGAGCACAAGAATAACGTTATCCAAAGTAGAAAGTTACAATTTAGGCGAAGGAGATAAGGACTAGTCTAGTATGATTTTAATAGACTGCCGCTGACACCGGCTTTTATACTATAGTGATGCGACTACACCTCACTTTCAACCTTTTGGGATTTTTAAAAATTATCTTTTATTTTTTCCTTTTGTTGAGTCCTAGTTATGTCTTGTAGTCATGTTAAGCGAGGGTAACTTTTTAAGAAATATAAGTAGTGGAATCTTGATAGAGCATTTCACCGTTTTGGAGGTTTTACTAGGTTAAGTTTGTTAATCAGTGAAAGCCGTGCTGCTTTGATTATTCCTGTGGCCTGCTAACGTTATGAATAGTTAACCTGTACTAACTAGTTAGTTTAATATTTAAATTTATGGGACTAACTAGTTTAAGGAAACATGAGGCTATACGAACGTACAATCAACAATCGAGATAAGACTAACGGAACTTATTTACTTTAACTACACACCCCATTTATTCGCAAGAAGGTCATCAATTAAACTTGTTTTGGCTGTAGTATAGTATACCGGAGTCAAAATTTCTATACAAAACACATACCATTCGATTCGTCTCGGCGAGCTGAGTCGAGTGGTACCACTCTCTATTCACGGAAATGCCTGTGAACCGAGATATAGGTCCCCGAAAATCGAAAAACCAAAGGGGGGAGTAAGCCCAATTTTGGGGTGAAAAATTCGAATATGCAAATAATAGCTCATTCGAAAGAGCATCTCGAGCTGAGTCGAATGACACCAAAATCACCGAAATCTGACTTGATTTGACAAAGTTATGATCTTTTATTTCAGCTCCTTACCTATGGGATCTATTCGACTCATCTCGTCGAGCTCTTTCGAATGAGGTATTATTTGTATAAAAAAATTTTTATTCAAAAAATCGCCCCTTTGGATTTTCGGTTTTTAGAGGCCTATATCTCGGTCTAATCAAGTCGAATTGCACGTCGACATTCGTATACCCTCGGACATAACAAGGATGTTAAGCAAAAAAGCCCAAAATGGTCAGGTAAACAGAAAAAAGAGGGGATCAGCCTTGGTATTACCGAGGTGGCTTTATTCTTGTCTTTCTTAAGGTGTCTTTCTTTAAGGTCTTTCTTCTAAATTAGGTCCTTTCTTCTTATCAAAAATCTATCAAAAAATTCTACCAAAAATCTTTTTCTATATTATTAACATAAACATGAATGCTGATTTATTTAAGGGTGAATACTTTACAGTAAAATATTTGCGCCTACTTGGCCGTGTGCTACCCGGCCTTTCACCTACTCGATCGCACCTACTAGGGCTGTACCCCTTCTGGGCTTGTCTCACATGATTCTGATATTGATTCCATTTGATTAAACGTGTGATAACTCCGATCTAGATAATTTACTGGATAACACAATTTTTCCAATAATTTTTCTTTCAAAAATAAAGCCCCTACCAATCTTGTTTTCAAAGCCTTTCCACACATGTAGCAGAATATTTTAGAAGAAATTAACACATTTTCACTACATTTAATTTTCCAAACAAAATATTTTTGATGTTTTAAAGGACCATTTATTTCCTCATTTATTATCAAGTTTGGATATCCTTCTATAGATTTTATTATTTCAAAAATTAATTCGGTCGGGATTTGTTTATTTTTTTGTTGTTTTTTTGTTAAGGTCATTTTTAAGAAAAATACAAGAGTTTTGTTGTTGTTTTCTATTATTTTTAGGGGGGAATTTTAATTATTTTTTTGAAATTTTCAGAAAAATTCTGTTAAAAAACAAAATTTGTTACTTATATAGGTATAGTCGATATACTCGGACACGCCCTAAAAGGCGCGATGCCATAACGGCGCAAAGCCATAACTAGCTGGAAAGTTTCTAGCCCTTATCAATTTTGGTACCAATCTCTTTAGCTCAATGAGAGGAATCGTTTAATACTAAATTTGGTAAGATTCGGAAAGCTTGAAGCAAATTATGGGGTTGCGCCGTTATGGCAGTGCGCCTTTTGGGCTCTACCCCTATAAATTCTAGGTGAAAAAATTATTTTGTTTTAGTATAGATGGCCAGCATAAAAATGGTCAGTGTAAAAATAGTCTATAGTAAAATAAACAATAGGGTCTGTAGACGACACTTTACTAGGAATTGCATATCTTTAAAAATTCCGTACCTACCCGTCAAACTTTCACTAGTTTGTGTTGATCATCTGTATTGACACATTCCAAACATATTTAGAAGGTAGGGTGGACCTTACAACAAGAAAGACCTTTAAGCTTGAATAATTGCTTCTTATAATGAGTTGTATCTTAAATAAAGAGTATCACTTAGACAGCTCCTTCACCTCGCCAAGTAGTCAACCAGTATCTTAAATTAGTATCTTAGATTGTGTGATCCTTTGATAACTTCAGGCTGTCTTATCTTTTCCCATATTTGACACTTATTTGCTAGACTTATAGTGACATTTCTTGTTTTATCTACTCTTGAGCAAGAAAATAAAAGAGATCAACAAACAGAGAGAGGGAAACTTTTTATAGACACGAGAGTTTGTTGTTGTGGTCGTAGTGTAAATAAATTTTTGT